TAGCGACTCAGTAATTGCGAGGATGAACCAAAACTATCATCACGTTGTCGCATACTACTCTATGATGACGCTTCCCTCAAACGCTACATACTTGAAACTAAAAATCAACACGACAGCATAAGAGACATTCAGAATTAATTATCTATTATTTATCTGAGGCACTTAGCTAATTGAAATTCCATTAATAGAGGGTTTGTTGAACGTTTGGTATGAACAAGCTGTTACAGGATGGCTATGCCATGGCCAAAGAAATGTGTACAGTCTTAATGCACTTGAAACCATTATAATCCACACGTTTGATCAAAATACGTACACACACTATTCTAAATGGTAGTGCATCAAAAGAGACACACATACTGTACTTCAACGTGTCAACGTACTTGATCAGCTCCAGACTCCCGACGTGCTGTGCAGATTAACTGTGTGGCATCATGGGATTCATGTTCGACTTGAGTCTGAAGCTGGCTGAAGTACCACAACAGTGGGAGACCTCTGTGGTACCAGTGTCAAAGAACAAACATCCAAAGACCCTCAAGAGGGTCTCGGTCATCTGCTCCTCCTGGTGAGGTAATAATGGACTCTGCTATCCTTACATCCGAAACTAGGCCTTGAAAACTGGACTGCCTTCTTAATAGGTCATTGTTTCTTAGCTGTCACTACAATGACTGGGGCATCTCAGATAAAACAGTAAGTTGTGTAATTATTTGTTCATATTAGATATTTCTTATTTTTCTTAGAGAGTGCTTTGCGATATGTGCTATGAATTGACGCCCTGAGTGAGCTGAATTGAATTGAATTAAAACAACCAAATGTCTCATTTATACAAAGAGCATTCAAACATGAATACTTTTTTCTCGACTCAACTGTTGCTCAAACCAAATGTTCAAATGTCTAGATTGTTAACTTTTTTGAAAGTTAATCTAGACACTGATAGAAATATTTCAACAGAGTTACCTGCAATTTCTATTACATAAAAAAAGCTACAAGTCAAAGATAAGTTCAGTTGCACTTATGATAACAATAATTCTTATTTTTAAATGATGATCACCTGCTTATTTATGGAAAATGGAAAATAATCAAAACCGACCGGGAGACAAATTCACAGTCAAGTTCGATCTGAACAACCTCATATGACAGAAATGAAATGCATTAAACCAATAGCACACTTCTTCGTGATCTTTTAACTTGACTCCCACGGCCCAAAATGTGCTGATATTTCATAAAAACATATCGTCTGCTCTTTCCATTTGCATTTTGTGTAAAGGGGCATAATATATGCACTTCTTTAGCTGTCTGATTAAATCCATGACTGTTTTGTAATTCTAAAGTGTTGTGAGGATTACCGACATCCCATATTTCATAATCCCATCATGGTCTTGCCCTCCTTCATTGCTGGATGTTGACTTGATTCTCTTGGCAGCAAAACAAACGCTTTCCATTACCTATTAGATTACACTGATGCCAAATGTAATTTAGCTCCCTCTGGAATCAAACATTTGCTCTTAGATGATAAGCTGGGAATGTAGAACTTGAGCCAATGCCAACTAGCATTTAAGAAAATCGTGGAGCAAAGCCTTGAATCAAAAAACAGATTATTCATACTCTGAATATTTGCTTGTTTTGGCCAATGCATCTGCTTTTTAAACGAGAAAAACGTCATCTATAAAAAAACAAACAAACAAAAAAACAAAACAAAAAGGGACCACTTGCTCTGTTCTCAAGTAAAAAACAGCTTTAAGTTATTGCTGATGGGCTGGTCCCCTAATGCACAGATAGATAAATCACACAACTTAGTCTGACTGCTAATGGTAAAAGTCAGGCTCTCAGCATGACAGCCAAGGATCTGCCACAGTGATATGCTAATGAAAAACAGCCCTTAGCAGAATAATGGGGAAAAAGAAACAATGTTTAAAGAAATAGACAATTTGAGCTTATTGCAATGCAACTCAGACAATAAACACCATATACATCGTCTATACAATATATTGTAGCAAACACCTTTTAAACATAATGAAATACTCTGTTAAAGTTTGAAAAAGAAAGATAAAAAAAAGGTACAGATTGAAGGGGTACATGCCATACAGAATCACAGAAGCTTCCAGGAAATAAAGATGACGCATGTAGGTGGGCATAGCAAATACACATCTGGAGTGTTTTACAAACACAGTATTCCAATCCAAGTGTCCGTTCCCCTATGGTTTATGTTACAGCTGATTCCCAGATAACGGCATCCTGCCCTGATTCCCACAGCATCTGCAGCTGAACAGCAGGCCTGGCTAACAATCTGCCACAGAGGACCAAGGCAGGCAGGCAGGCCGAGCCACCGACTGATCTTCAGGGTAACTGGCTGGAAGCTACTAAAACAGCAAGAGAAGCAGCTACTAGCCACCCTCCCAGCAACAGACTTTGGTTGTTTCCTGAGTGAAGACTCCAATATGCTAACAAACACACTGTCAGGGCTGTTTTGCTGAGTTAGGAGAACTGAGTTAGAGACATTTATATCAAAGTAAAGGATGTAAAATATAGTGGTCTTAGCCTAAGAGCCAAATAGCACAAAGATCCCATGATAGAAACAATGCAAAACTTAGTAATGTATGCATGTTTTTACTAGCTTTATAGTGTGTTGTCAGGTCTAGCTGCATAACTTCTGCAAAACCTTTGTGACGATATGCTTGTAAGTAAACTTCAGAATTAAGAAATGTAAAAGTAAATGTAAAAATTTCCATGCTAACAAGAAAGAAAGGTAATTTCCTACACAGTGAATGAGATCCGTCTTTAGAGGCAATCAATCAGGTCAGAGACTCATGATTCTTGACTTCAGTGTGGTGGCAGAAGTATTCATAGCCTTTCACAAGTTCAGAGTTCAGAAGTGCCCACGTTGTTTTACAAATACTCTTCTGTGAAGATTTTTGTCCTTTTGTTCATAAAGGATAAAACTGTCTTGCAGCGGTAAATGATAAAGGTTAACATCAGAAGCAACAACATACGTATTTTGCATTAATGCAAACAGAAGAAGCTGAAAGAGGTGTGAAAATTACGATTCGATATATTCACTTAACATTAACACCACAAAGACTACATTGTTGCATTAAAAATGACTATGCACTGGCAGACATTTCTTAGGTTCCTTTCCATAATTTTAACATGAATGGTACTTAATGCAGTTAATAAATTAATGCATTAGAGATTCTATAGCTGCCTCACTTTAATATGTTTTTGTAAAACAACTTTTCATTTTCATTTAGGCACAGCCACTCCATAGAGTCTAATAATTTCCTCCTTTGCGCTTTTCTTGAATCTGTCATCATTGGCGGATATAGTTGAAATTAATATCCTGAAACAAACCTTAAAAAAAAAAAAAAAACAAAAACTCTGAATGCACAGCAAATGAATTTCCTGAAACTCTCTTTCACTATTAGAACACAGGAGAAGCCATATCCTGCTCTGTTGAGGATTGAAAACATCTGATCAGCATTTCTTTTGGCTGTGAGTTAAACAAAAGTGTAAGCAAATACTTAGGAGCACTTCAGCATTTAGACGTCAATCATATGGTTCTAATCCCTAGAAATTGCATAAACCTCTAAATCCTTCACCAGAAAGTAACATGTATTTTATCATTTTCAGAATGAACTGGAATTTTGCAACAGGGACGGATGGATAGATGGACAGACAGACGGTTGAACATATGGTTGAATGCTTGGCGTATGGTTTAATAAACCCACCCAGCATGCAATCAAACCAACTAACCAACCAACTGAACCAATTCAATTACAGTTTTTCCTCTCCACTGTCACTACATACATGCTCGGTATGAGGGATTGCTGTACAGTCAACTAAACAATGCAGGTGATTCATGCTGTCACTACATGCTTGTTTAGTAAGAGTGAATACTGCCAGTTAATCACTTGATGCAATCTGCTGGGTTTCCTTAGAAACCCTTTGAGCTGTTCTGAATAAAGAGCTTACTGTACTGTTTGACAACCAGGATCAGTTCTAATGAATATGTGATTGAATCGACATGTTTTATTGAACTGAATAAAACAAGCCAACCAACCAACTGAACTATGGATCTAACCTGTAAGACCATGATCATCCAGCCAACCAAACTAACCGGGCAGTCAGTCAATCAAAAACAAACCAAGCAACTGGTTAAGCAAATTATTTACCAAATAAACAAAAGTTTGTCCCTTTAAAAAAATTATATTTGAGAAATAAAAAAAAAAGGATATTGCAGAGCCAACCTACAAATCAATCATCATGAGTGATGTCAGTGTAACTTCTAAGATAACATAACATCAGTAGTGCTGGAACAGGGGGGGCCCCGAGGGCCATTGGCCCCCCAACTTTACAGCCCTGCCTGTCAGCTGGTTCCACCAAACATGTACACAGGCTGCACCCAACACTGACGAGCAGAGACTGACATCGATCTCTGAGTCTGTACACAGGTAGAGGCACAGACAAAACCTACAGCATTCTGATGCGGGCCAAATCCGTAAAGGCTCCAGAACCGCATAGCAGTCATCGGAGGGTTTATGCACATGTGCCAGCTGAGGGTCGGGCTGGGATCATGAGGCTGCCTGACACCTGCAAAAAAAAAAAAAAGACTTTGGCTCTGATCCGGTCCGCGTCTGGACCAAATCTGCCTGAAAATGAAATAAGAATTCTGTATTTGTGCTACCTCTGGCCCGAATGCAGTATTTATAGCCCCAGTGAGCTAAATAAAAAAATTTAATAAATAAAAAAGAAGAAAGGAAAAAAAAAACACTCCTATGGTGGTGAGAGAAGAAAAGGAGTACTGTTATCTGAAAAAGAAAGAGCAAAGGGATGGGTCAGGAGTGAGTGGGTAAAGCTGACCTCTTCCACAGCTGCAAGACGTGTGATTGCAATGCTAACTTGCTCCTATCCAACTCTTTTTGCAATAACACAGGGGAGAGAAAGGAGAGCTCAAATGTTAACACCTGTTATTCCTTCCTTTATACGTAAGAGAATAGGACATTCTTCTAAGACTGAGGCTGACAGAATTCTAAAACACAAAAAAAGCTTAAAGGGAGTGCAAAAAAAGTCAAATGGGAAAGCGTGTACTCTTTGAAAACAGCTCGGGTTTTTTTCTGGTAGCATAGAAAGTTAATGAGACTCCCTTAGAAAATGGCATTGCACTCTGAACAATTGGGAAAAACAAACAAACAAACAAACAAACAAACAAACAAACAAACAAACAAACAAACAAACTCCCATCTACCATAATGATAGAAAGAACGGTATTAATTATTGAAAAGAGAGATGTTTTATAGTGCTCCTGTTCTGGGATTGAACAAGACTGACTACATTGATCCAGTTCATTCAGAGAAGTTCCAAACTATAAAGCGAACCCTTTCCCTTCCAATTTTTACCAGTAGATTTGAGTTTAAATGAACCACAATGGAGCACAACTGAGATCAAATAAACCGAATCAATACATTTACTTTAAAACAATAACCAATGGCAATCTACTAAACCTTCCCCGTATAAAAGCCGAAACTAAAATCAGACCTTTTATAGTACAAAAGATTGATTTTGCTGATGAGTATGAACTTGTAACACATCCCCTTGACAACCTGCAGTGGATCACAAGTCAAGTTGTAAATAGCATTAGCCTAAAGGACATAGAGCTTTATCAACCAGCCCCTGGCATTGTCTATGAACAATCCACAGTCCTTGTAGATAAAACACCAAATTTGTTGTAATCACAGTTTTGTTTTATGGGTGCAACACATGGCAAATACACCTGGATCAGCAGCAGTTCCAAATGACCTCAAATACTGTATGTCGTTTTGAAGGGTTGAGATAGCTGAATTTGTTACACTTGTGTTAGCCCCCCATGCTTGGCTGGCTGTTTTGCAAGGGCGTTCAAGGATATTGTGCAGGAATGTGAAAACAAGGTGGACACCATTTACTTTACAAAGATGTCCTACACCGGCACCTGAAGAAAACTAACATCCCAGAAAGGCTTGGGGAAGCAACAAAGCACAAAATAACAACAGAACCGCACTTTAGCTTCTAGCATACAAACTGACTTGGGTCTGCTGGTTAAGAGAATTCATGAGCCTTAAGAATCAGGTTTGTGGGCCACCAAATGACCTCCTCTGACTAAAACAAGATAAACAATCACATTCTTAAGGATGGATTGCCTTACTGTCTGAAGATTACAATACAAGACAAAATCCCTCTCATAATAGCACCGCGTAAGACATTTTTCCTCACATTTTCTTATAAAACAAATAAATCACATGAATCCCTAAGTTTCTCTCTCTCTCTCTCTCTCTCTCTCTCTCTCTCTCTCTCTCCCTCTCTCTCTCTCTCTGTGTCTTTTACAGTCTGGTAAAGGTCCTTATCCATTGGGGACGTCAGACAGTTTGTTCAGAACAATTAAAACAAAATGAAACACAAACAATAAAATGTCACATGTCACAAAATGTCACTGGCAAATGCCTTTGGAGGGAGATGTGAAAACCAGAAGTTGCCTGACTTTTTATCCGGCCACAGCGATGGTGCTGCGGAAGTGGGTTACTTCCGAGAGGGACGAGTCAATCTCCATGGTTCAATTTCCAATTTCCCAGTTTGAGCCCATCTACGCTCAATATCATGATGCTGGCTTCTTGATGATAGGCCCACATATCCTATTCTAGCCATAATCCTAAATGCCACTTGACTCATTTTATGTCGAAGTACAGCTGGAGCTTGGATTGACTTTTTCTCTTGCATAAGTCAGTCACCTTAATTACGAGTCGTGATCAGGTTTTTAATTATTAGGAATCATTTCATAACATCGTAAGGGTGTTGATAAGTTTCAGTAATACTTCTTCTGACACGTTTTTCCATATAAATGAAAATGTTTGATTTCTTTTACATATATCTTTTTAATCACCCATTTAAATACAACTTTTAAAGGTTGTATTTAAATTTTTGAGAGATAAAAACTTTTGAAACAGGTATAATTTAGGACATCATATTTAACAAAGCACCCCAAATCCTTCATAAAGTGCTCCTTGGAGGTGTAGTTAGTACAGTGGCAGTGTTTGACTCTGCAAATATGACTTAAGGTGCTGGAACATATTACTAAATATAACATCCACAGGGTTCTCTGGTAAAAGTGCTCTAGAGCAACCTAAAAAGCACTATGACTTTTCAAATGTTCAAATAGCCTTAGGATCGCACATGTACACTTGCATTCCTCCACCACAGTTCGCGTGTTCTGTAATTCTGTACATTTAAATTATGCAAAATGTGGCTTAAATAAGAGTCCCTAAAACATGCCAGTTCACTCAAATCATTTGTCTCCTGGGCGAAGGAGAAAAAAAAACAAACAAAAAAAAACAAAACTGGAATCTTGTACAGTGGTCCAAAGTCCTCTTTTCACAGAGAAGTAAAGTTTGCATATCGTTTGCAAATCAAAGCACCAGAGTCTGGAAGAAGAGTGGAGAGGGACACAATCCACATGGAGAAGCTTCCACAGTCAGTGATGACTTGGGGTGCCATGTCATCTGCAGGTGTTGGTCCACTGCGCTTTCTGAGCCAACAGTGCCATTGACCATGACATTCTAAGCACTTCATGCTTCCTTCTACTGACATTCTTTATGGAGATGCTTATTTCGTTTTCCAGCAGGAATAGGCTGCCCACACTGGCAAAGGTACCAAATCATGCCGCCGTGTTGATGCAGTGGAAAAGGAGGCCAAACCAAGTATTGAGAACATAGAAATGAGAATACTTTTCAGAAGCCTGACATTTCTGGTTAAATTTAAATTTGTTACTGCTGTCATATAATATTAACATTTTCAGACAATGTGTCTATGTTATTTAGTGGAAACTAAATAATATAAGGATACAATTTCCAATGCATCTCATCTCAAGTTAGATGTTTGCAGGGAAGAACACAGCGAAATAAATATTCCAGAAAACGGTGTCAGTGAGACTGCAATTGGTGGATGGGTAGAGATCCAAAGAACTTTAAGAAACCGTTGCATTTTAAAACACAGCCCGCTGTGAGCACTTGGTATTTAAAGTCATTAAGGGCGTGTGGCTTTGAAAAATCGGAAATTAAAGAAAAAGGAGGAAAACGGGGAAAAAAAAGAATCCCTTTGTTCCTAAAATTTCTGAGGAATCAAACTAAGAGGTACAGATTCATGTCGCCTTCCTTTGCCGCTACATTCCCATTCATCACAGGGCCGTTTGAAAAGGCGTTGCTAAGAAAGCAGCAGCGGATGCAAGACGCTATTCATATTCCCAGATTTCAGAGTATCAAGTCGAGTGAATTCAAGACTTTTATCTTCTTTAATTATGCAAATTATACTCCGCAGATATTTTCTATCAAGACGAGAGGCCTTTTTCTTTTCTCTCAGCAATTTCTCTTTTTTCAATGAGCCGCCCAAGTGAAGCAGAGGGAAGAAGCAATCCTTGAAATGCACATTGCAGGAAAAAAAAAAAAAAAGTGCTATGGCTTATTTATCACTGCTGTTAATGAACTAGAAAATAGTTGGCTTTTTATTAATTTCATTAAACTGAATTTAAGTTTTTTTTGCCTTCCTGCTGAATCACATTTGGAAACACAACACAAAAGAGTATAACACTGTGACTTTTATTGGGGCTGCATGAAATGGACGGATTTCATTGTTATTAGCAGCGCCACTTCATAGTAATTTGCCACAAAAGACTCAGGCATTCTGACTTCTCAATAACAGCAGTCATTACCAATAAATCTTTAGCCCCTGTTCTGCTCAGCCGCTTTCTCCTCAGTAGCCAGAAGGTGATTCCATGTTTATTGAACAAAAGGTCTTTGTACTCCAAGCATGTTCATCACATAAACGATTGACAAACCCTTAATGCCCAATAGCATAATGCCCAGGAAGGGGCAGAAGAGACATAACATAACAACCTTGGGATTTTTGACACTTTGCCTCTCAAGAGTGAAAATTTTATTTTATTTATTTATTTTTTTTAAACTCAGTAAAATGCAGGTGAAGGAATATAATAATTACAAAACTGTCCGTTAAAAACGTTCTATGATTCTGACTGATGTGGATAGCAATGAGCTGGCAATGACGTTGCCATATACCAAGGTTTTGACAAAAGACCGTCCAAAACCACATTTTTTTTTTTTTTTCATTGTACTTTTTTCAGTCACGCCAGTGTTGAGTAACTTCTCCAGATTTTCTTATTGGCTTCATAATGCAGTAGAGAAATGCCACTCTCATTTCATGTTGCCTTGTCCATGGGTGAAGGCTATGAAACCTTGCCTTCACTCACAAGAAAGACAAAAGATAAGTGCTTGTCGCAAAAAAATAAAAAAATAAAAATAGAGAATCTGCCTGATATCCCAAACGAGTCCCACCCATCACTTCAATTACGATAAAACTGTCGTCCCGGACCTTTTTTTTTTTTTCTCCTTGTTGACCTCAGACCACATCCTTTGTCGAGTGAGAAAAGCTAAGCAAAAGCGGAACATGCAACCAAAGTGCAAATGGAGAATAAAGTTTATGCAGGTGATTTTTATAAGCTGGAGAATAGTGATGTTTTTCTCCATCAGTGCCAGAAACAACAAATACGAAAGTAACAGGAAAAATCTATTGCAAGCTTACCAATGACTTAAGTTGTGCAAGGATTGAAAAGTATTAAGAGTCTCACAAAAGATCAAGAAAAGCAACAAAGGGACCGAGGTCTATGGGATGTATTTTTTTTCTTTTCTTTTTGTCTGGAGTCTATAAACAAAAGGGAAATAAAAGCAGCGAAACAATTATAAAAAATGACAATGCTTTAAAAAAACAACAACACACACATACCTGCTGTGAAGTTGTAACTTGCTGAAAATCCCACCCCTTCCAGTTCTCCATCTGTCACAAATTTTATCCACAGGTATCGGCCACTACTCCTGATATCTGGTGGGCTGTGCTGACCGCAGTACCGCCCAAGTATCGGGGAGAAGCCAAACGGTCCATCGCGAACCTCAATGTTGTCAAATTTACATTCCCAAGAGGACTCAATTGAATAATTGTCCTCGAAGTGTAGATCAATGCACTGTCTTGGGGGTGCTGGAAAATAAATTGAAAAGTATTAAGCACAAAGTATCATTTCATAGAGTACAGTCAATATTTTTCATTGATATTGATAAAAACTCTAGCTGTTTAAGTAGCTTGGAGGTAATGAGATTTTCTGCGAGCTTTTGTGACATTGAAACACAATTATGTTTCTCATCAAAGCAGAAGCTTTCTCACGAATCAGTATTCAATTAAGTTACTTATGTTGAATATAAACCTGAGTATTTAACATTAACAACCTGTATGTTTGAGAATCTTAAAGCAGGACAGGAAGTAGTTCTTGCTGCAACTCAGCTACAAAAGCACTGAAGAAATGCTCAGCACTCTTATATTGTTTATGTGGCAGCATTTCGGGCACTTGGTAGCAAAAAGGACATTTGTAAACAAAGTGAATATATTCAACTGGCTAACTGCTAGCACTGAAATTTCACACTTATTTTAGAAAGCTGGTCTAGATTTGATCATCCAATCCAAATGCCTACACTGATCAAACTTGAAATTGATAAATCTATGCTATATATATATATATATATATATATATATATATATATATTTTTTTTTTTGAATCAGTATTTTACATTTGAAAATTAGAGAAATACAAATTGACTTAAACCTAGAATTAAATATTTGACACAGATGATTGTCATTGGGGAAACATGTATATGAAAACAGATCACATCTATACATGTGGGAACAGAAAGAAATGGTTTTGAAAATATTTGAAAAACGGTTTTGAAAATATTTCAGGGTTCTTTTCAACCCATCATGTTTTCATCATTTCATCATACTTTATAGTACAATCAAGTAGCTATGTTATGTTCAGTTGTTATAAAAATGCTATAAAAAATAACTTGACATCATAATTTGACACATCGAAAATGGCCTGTGTCTCTTTAAGAAGCTTGTGCTCTTTCCGATGCTCTGCTTTCAGCACGTAATTGAAACACTGCTCCTCTGTGATATCGTTTACAACCATTCTTAGGAGCATTAGACTGAGAAGTGGTTTGTATGATGAGCTCAGCAGACACACAGTTCCACCAGATGTTTGTCAAATGCTGCTGCTGCTACTAGTCTGGAGAAACTGTGTGTGGGAGGCGTGCACTGAGCGGTGGAAGCTCAGCTGGGATCTGCAGCTGCAAGGAGGAGCTTTGTGAGAGGGAGCGCTTAGGCACCCCCAATTGGCTGCCATGAGAGATTAAAGGATTTCTCAAACATGCATGAAACAATCAAAAGCAACACTTCACCAGGTATGTTTTTGATTTAAAAAAAAATAACATTATAACACGATATAAAGCTCAAAAAGTCAATTTTAACGTAACACCCCACTGGTTCCACCTTAAATGGCATCTCTCTTTGGTAAAACGTCTTTCTACATAAAAACAATTCTCTAAGGGGCATGTCTTGCTAGACGTTTACGCAAAATAAAAACTATAGCAGTGCTCTATTTGGTGGGGGGAAATCACATTTAAAACACCTTGTCTTTTTATCTATTTCTGCTACTGTGTATGTCATGATCATATTCACCTTCAAGGATATAAACGCACTCTGTGTTGGGGGGGTATTTGTTTGGGTAATTGGGGGAGGTGAAGAGTCCTCCTTCTGCTTCTTTTACCCACGCTCCACACTGACCTGCAGGCTTTACTCCAGAATTGTTTTTCACTAAAACAAGATTCATACACAAAAAAAATAAAAAATAAAATAAAAACCAGCAATAAATGAAGCTTTGAAAGGATCATATATATAGGGTATAAAAATATAGATTTTTGATGTTGAAATTACCTGTAGCCGTATCCTTTTTTGTTGCCCCAGACAACCCGAGTATGAGTAGACTTGCCACAACTGTAAGATCAGAAAGAAAAATACATATTTTATTGTTTGGCTCCTTTTTTTTTGAGGTTTGAGACAGTACAGTTCAGATTCCTGATACTGGCTCAATTCAGCAATGTGAACTATTCATTCTTTTTTTTTTTCCCCCCCCACACTAAAGATGATTTTTCAAAACATAACCAAAAGACAGGTTTGAGACATGCTCAATAATATAACGGAAGTACTTCTCTTTTTGAACTTGTTTCATTTTAATTTCAAATATTGAAAAGAACATGCAGCGAGAACTTATGACCTTCACTGCTAAATTTGCAGGCTGCAAAATGCAGCCTTATCATTATTTTTTTGAAATGATGTCAGCTTGATTTGTTGCTCGGATACTTAGTGTTCCCTTTCAGATGAGTTAAGGCTATGAAGAAAAAAATAAAATATACGGAGTAAGTGTGCTTCAGTTATAGTGTCTTACCGTGAAGGAAGCTGTGCCCATGTACCATGTCTGTTTCTTTCACAAACGGCTTCACACTCAACTAATTCCATTTAGATTTAGAAATACTTGAAGAAGAAAAAAAGTCAAAGATGAGAAGGATTTCTTCTTGCTAATTCACACTTTTATAAAACCTCTTACCGGAAAAAGAAGAAAAGAAAAAAGAAAACTCCTTAAACCTGTTAATTTGAAGTGAAGAAAAAAAAACTCATAAGAATTAATCACCAGTTTCATATAAAACCAAAAACAGTTCCGATTTCCATCCAAACGCTTCTAATGCCCCTTGGTGCTTTTGATGCACTGAAAGGATTAATAGTCCCTTCATCAGCCCTTCTCTAATCGCTCCACATTTGCGATCTTCTTTAGGGAGAAAAAAAAAAGCCTCGTTTTGTCCTCTTTGGTCCCTGTATCAGGAGCGGGAATCCTTCAGAAGCACGCCAGACCGCGCAACACTCATCTCTGCGGCGTTTTCTTGTAGTCTTCTGGGGTGCGTAAAATTGTCCAGAGGAAAGAAAAAAAGACAAACGAGTTGTGTAGCCTACATATAAGGTGAAATTTTATACGGGTTTTTTTTTTTTTTTTTTTTTTTCCTCAGAAGGTTGTCTGTGGTGATCTGAGTGCGCCTCTCTGCATTGGCTTCTGTGAAATGGAGAGTCAGCGTGGGTAAATGCGTGATCTCCCTCCTCCTTTCGATTCTTTCCTTTTCTGCGTTTGGCACCGACTGTTTAAACGTCCAATGCGCCACGATCATCACGCTGCCTTTCACGCGCGCTTTGTGAACTTCAACCACAGCACGCTGCGGGATCAGCTGCACGCGCGAGAAACAAGTGATAAACATAACAAAAACATAACAAAAACAACAAAAAAGCATATATATATATATATATATATATATATATATATATATATATATAACTTACGCATATACATTAATACATATACTGTATTGTTTATCATTGAAAAATAATTTAACAACTACTCCTTCAAATCAAAGCTGAACGTGATGGCGCATTTTTAAGGTTATTTGCAACAATAAAGTAATGCAGATGCATTTCAGGAAATCAGAATATCATAAAATTTAACAAAAAAAACCCCCCAAAAACGTCTCATACCTAAACATACGTCACAGTGTTTAATTTTAAACCTTTTATTTCAGTGAATGCTGATAATTATAGCTTACAGGCAGTGTCTGCGAACATTTTAATATTTTATAAGAACTAGTGTAAAAAAAAAAAAAAAGCAAGAACTCCTGGACTACTGCGGTGTGGCATAGAGGCAGTGGCTCTTGGCTGTGTTGAGGTGTTGAAGATGACCAGGATGCAGTGATTGTGCGTCAGCAAGTCTGCACTGCTGGTCAGGCAAGCACAGTGTTAAGCAGAGAGTGGCTTTGTTTGTGTGACAGGTGCCAGGTCCTACTGAAAAATAAAAGCAACAGTCAGCAGAGGTAGCTTGTCAGCAGAGGAAAGCGTGAAGTGCTTCAAAATTTCCTGGTGGATGACTGCTCTTTGGATTTGATGATACACAGTGGAGCAATGGCAGCGAATGCAATAGCTCCCCATATCATCACTGACTGGGAAAACTTCAAGTGTGATTCATCTAAAACAACAACAACAACAACAAAACCTCTTTGAAACACTGAGCAGATCCAGTCCTTTTACTTATTTGTCCCATTAATATGTATTGAAACACTACCCCTGTTTTAGGTGTGTGTTGAGGCAAGAAATGCTACTTTTGTGGCCATATTTTGGATATACTGTATCTTGTGTGTGGTGTCTCATAAAGCTCTACTCTTGCCACACTCCATACCTTTTTGATATACACAAAGTTCTTGGACAGGCTTCACAATTGTTCCTGCTGCTTGTGTATATTTGTACCACACTTTTTTCTTCCACTCAACTTTTCATTATTGTGCTTGGACATAGTAATTTTCATGGAAGAGTGCTTTTGTTTCATTTATTAAGTTGTGAGTTAAATTCCAGCTTCCTCCACTTCCACAAGTAATAAGATGTAAACTAATCTGATTGACACTACATAGGGACAATACATTTTGCAATGACATTGATTTATATCTACATAACATCCTTTATCTAAGATTTTCCACACCAGAAGTCAAATACTTATCCAACCGGTTGCAAGATTTCATGAGGTCTAAGATTTCATAGTGGTAATTCAACAATAACAAGTCTGTTTGGTCCTTATCAGAACTGGTGTTGCCTCTTTCCAAGAGTTGAATCTGCTAAATCTGTTGTTGAAATAGCTCTGAAAGTCAAACTCTGAAATTGCATACTTAACACTCCAAAATGTGGAGAATGTCATTTTGGACTCCACAAGACACATGACACGTTTAACCGTTGCATGTTATGCAAGATTTAATTTTTGGCATTTTAGTTTTCTGAAGAAAATACAATGGAAAAAAGCAATCTCTACTGACTACCCGATCTTTTAACAAGTACAATATTTTGCACTGCTGTCCTTAAAGCATTTGTATTAAACGTAGGCTAATCCAGTCCAGATTTGGCAAATCTATGCACAGATCTTGAGAGATAGAGAGTTGGTCTAAACTGATTGAGATACCAATCAGTTATTACTGTAAAACTAAAAAGTAAAAAGTCTGAAAAAGTACTGAATTTTGAAAGGAAAATTTTGTTGAAACCTCATAAGAGTTTTTTTTTATTATTATTATTATCTGCATGGCCAAACATGGGAAAAGCAATAGAAATAAATTGCTTTTTGAGGTTCAGCTCCCATAAACAAACAAGAGCTTCAAGCAGATATTTAATTTATCAGAGCAGTGCAAATATGTCAGTTTCATTTGTCAATACAGCCTCTCTGGGACGTATCATAAAACATTTAACTGTTCTTGAGCTTTGCTGCAACTCGGCTCTTGGTTTGCATGAATACTTTCCACATTTCTAAACTCTACATTAAAAAGTAGAAGATTAATGATGTTGGATGAGAAACATCACTTTTTACATTTTTTTTTTCATCTCACACTTTTGAGATTACTTTCCCAAGACAATCATGTCAGAATGTACCTATACGCTCCTTCACTGAGTGCAGCGGCTCTCGCACCTGATGACAAAGCTGATCAGAGGGTGCTCAGGGACAAGTCAGGGGCTCGGGAGCCCAAAAATAGTCTTGGCACTCAGGAGACAATATCCATCTTCTGATACTCCTGCTGCAGACGCAGCATTGGCTTCAGTCTCTCTTTGCACATACTGGTTGGTTTTACCTCACCAGTTTTGATCAGTGGAGGTTTTTGTGTTGGAGCACAACCACTTTGGCCTTTTAACCCTTGTTGTATTTTTTTTTTTTTTTGTAAAATATAAACTTAATATCGAAATTCATACCCAGGAGATTTGGTTTTTACATTGTATTATTAAACTGATTCAGTTTGGCAGCAATGATGCACACTTTACAGGTGCCGCACTGACTTAAATATACGTATGGGGAATCTCAGAGCTCTTTTCATCTGTTATTGACAGTGATTTAAAGAGACTTGGGATTGAGCCCTCCTTCAGATACATACACACCACATACACACATACATGCATACACAACAAGAACAAAAGTTTCTACCGACTTCCCTTTTCTTTACTTTAATGAATTCAGATAAATCTGCTGGGTACTCAAGATTGTTAGTCATCATTTGGCTGAATATAACTGGGATGCATCTACCTCTCAAAACTACATGTCTTACTTGTATCCAGCAAACTAGGGAACCGTTACACATCCGGTGCCCCCATCCAAAAATATTTGTCTCCTTCACGCTGGATATGTTGGATTTGCTCAAGCACCCTTAGACATCAGAACTGATGAAGATCACCTGGATCCCATAATAACAACAAGTTGGCTCATGTGTTATGTTTTCAGAAAAGCAAACACTTTTGTCATTGTGTCTATTTGGCTGGACCAAGGTCTGATGAGTAAATTAAGTATGCACCTTTAGTGTGACGCTGCCAGTTTTCCTTTGTCAGTGTAACAGGGGACACCCCTAAAGCGGATAAACACTTAGGCTAATGCCTCCTGGCCAATGGGACTCGAATTAACCCTATTAGTGACGCATCAAGCAATGTGCCGACCTAAAAAAGAAGAGAGGAAAAAGTATTTGTCATTCAAGGTGCCTTGTGTTTAATTAAGTAAAACCCAGCACCAATAAATGTTTTTTTTTGTTTTGTTTTGATTTTGCGGCCATGAAACAAAGTGTCTGCTGCTCTTTTTTGCTGCATTAGTTGTCTGGGTCTGTGTTGATAGACTGCATTTATCCTGGCTGTGCACCTGGAGCACCAGCAGGGAAAAATTCCATCAGACGATAGTCACATAAACTACCAGTGGCATCATTTCTGCTGAGGCGCTTTTGTTGGTTTGAAATTCTGAATCCAATTTCAAATCCCTTGGTGCTCTCTCTCTCTCTGTCTCTCTCTCTCTCTCACTCTCTCTTCTCTTGCCATCTCTCACTTTCTCTCCTTCTTCTGTTATTTTTCCTGAATGCTCTCAAAAAAACCATTAAAGTGTTTTGAATTATAGCACAAACGGAAATGTGCATAAACACTCCTAATCATACCAGCAAAGGGTAATATTTTTTTTTCATAAATCGAAGGAAAAAAAATGTGCTGTGCCTTTTCAAGCACATTAGTGTAATTATTTTGTGAAGGACAATAATGTAAATGTAATCACTAATCAGACGCGCAGTAAAAAGCAATTTCCTATTTGTAATGCTTATGCTGGATTTCTGAAATGATCAATAAGCTAATTTGATTTTAAAATCTATAGAAAAAAAATCATTATTATAGCATCCTTGTGTAATAATCTGCGGGTGTTTGAACTTTTGGTTTCATTTGGCTGTCCATTATCTTTATTGTTTATTTACTTATATTTTGTACTTTAGTTTATTCCATTGTGTTTGTACTTTCATGCTTTGACTCTTATTTGTGCAGTTGGAGTTCTCTCTTTAGATTATCGTTCCTTCTCTTTATTTTGTCAGCTTAAGTTTTTTCCCTTAATTTCTCTGCTTTCTTTATCTTTCACCTTTCTCTCAGCATGCTGGCTCGCTCCCTTCTCAGCTGTTTCCCATCCTTTAATTTCTCTCTGTCTGCACTTTCACTCAGCTGTTTGGTTTCTTTCTCACTTTCACCTCTCCCCTCAGTACTTAAGCTCTTTGGTTTGTTCCACTCCTCAGTGGCTCTTTTTGTTAAATTACCCGTTCTGTCATCTGCTGTCCGTTCTGTCAGGGTTTTCTCGTTTTCACCAAGTCAAATATCATTGTCGTGACCTGTTATGTTTGCGGTTTGGTCCTGCCTTTTAATCAACAAAATATAACACCCGTATAACATAACACACGTAATAATTTAACATAAACTGTCTGAGCCGAACGAGGTTGATAATTCAACGTTTTCAAAGTGTGACCGACGCAGACTTAACATCTTGCTGCCATTGCTAAAACTCCAGGCAGACTACAATTCTAAAACACTGCAGAAAATCAACATCATCATTCACAACTTCTCCTGTTTGCCGACTGGCCTAACTGCGCAGGAAAGGCAATGGCTCGGCTACTCTACGCATGTATGTTGAAACATTCAATATTTTACTTTGGAACACCGTCCTATATGGTTTGTGGTAAACTGTAAGGAGGACATCTGATACATCAAGCCACAACAACATCAAGGCCACCTTTGTGAAGCTCAGAACTAAAACTGTTTTGTCTTTCTATTGATTATGGATATCTGCAGAGCTGTGTCTTTGATGCTTCTCTGACTAGTATT